TACTACTACTACTACTACTACTACTACTACTACTACTACTACTACTACTACTAGTACTACTAGTACCACTTGCCTCCGAGGGCAACATGCACTGACTCCACCCCGCCTGTCAGGTCCCCTTACACCTTCTTTGTCGCGCCGTCGCGACGTCAACCGCGGGAAAACGACAAATTTTGGATTAAATATCGCGCCCACTCTGGAGTCTGAATCGGTCCGTTCTTTTGCGGGGCACGGGCCGAATCAGGATCCAGAGCGGACGTGGTCGTTTGCGTTGAGTTTCGTCGCTATTCCGCGGGGAGGCGGTCCCGTCATGTTTTCGCGTTGTCTCGGTTCCGCTTTGGCGTCGGGGCGGGGGCGGCACATTTCTGTTGATTCAGTCGCGTGTTTCTGTTTATCCGCTCTGGGTCTTGAGTCCGGCCGATTTTTTGCAGAGACGGACGGAGCCAGGTTCAAGGATGGATGCGGTCTTGTTCGCGCCCATTTGGAGCCCGAAACGGGCCATTTGCTTGATGGGGGCGGACAGTTTCAGGATCCAAAATCTGCTTTGGATATTGAAGCGGTCCGTTCTCCTTGAGCAAACGCCCCGTTTCAGGTTCCAAATGGGCGTGAACAGGATCGCGCCTTTTCGCGTTCCTGAATTCGGCTGCTGAACATCAGAGAAATTTCGAACATGCCGTTGCAGGATCACTACTGGCGCGATTTAGTTTCAGCGCTGGGCCGATTCAGGTTCGAACGACGGGCCGATGCAGGTTCCAGGGCGGGCTGGAACAGGACCCAGTTTTTCCCTCGAACCTGAAGCCGACCTATGCCGAGTTCCGCGGAGCGCTGCGGGAACGGGCGCGGGCGCGGTCGCGGCAGCGGCGCGCTAGTGAGGGGGGAGCTATGGTCTTGCATCCGCTTTTTCGGAACTCCCCCCCCTCCCCTTCCGCGGGGCGCGCGCGCGCGCGGGAACGGGCGCGGACGCGGCAGCGGTAATGGCGCGTTTGGGAGGGAGGAAGTATGGCGTTTCATTGTTCTTTAAGCGTTTTCCTTTCCCTCTGTGAGGCGCGTGCGCGGAAACGGGCGCGATCACCGCAACTAGCGGCAATGGCGCGTCGGGGAGGAGGGGCGGGGGGGGGATGATTGTCTTTCGTAGATTCTTCGGGTTCCCTTCTTCCGCGGGGCACTTGCGCGGGCGGGCGCAGAAACGGGCGCGGGCGCGGCAGCCGCAATGGCGCGTTTGAGGGGGGGGCCGCGCCTGTTCATCGACCCGTTTGGTTTTACTCCTTTTCCGCGGGATGCGCGGGCGGGCGCGGAAACCAGCGCGGGCGCGGCAACGGCAATGGCGCGTTTGGGGGGGGCGCGGGAAACCATCGCCTTTCATAGATGTTTCGCGTTCTGTTTTTGTTTCTCCCCGCGGGTTACGCGGGCGGGCGTGGGGGCGGGCGCGGGCACGGTCGTAATCCACGGGAATGCCCCCAAAGAACCTGAAACCGTGAACGCGGGACGTTCCGAAAACACCCGCGGGGTCACCCTCGAGAACCTTGGGAATCGATTCCCAAGGTTTTACAAAACGACCCCGGGACCATTGTCAGGAAACCTTCGCCTACTCGCCACCCAGGAAAAATTGCAACCCGCGCTCCCGCACGCACGCGCGCGCGCCCACGCCCGGGCGCGCACACGCACCCACGCGCGCACCCTTGGGATCACCTTCGAAATCCCTGGGGATCGACTCCCAAGGATTTCGAAAGCGAGCCCAGGATCATTATCGGAATATTGCAAGTGTTAAGCCCAGAAGTGGGAGCGCCCCGGGAGAATTACATGTGAAATCATTTTTGGATTTATCGGTTTCTTCAGATTTCTGGGGCAATACCAAGGTAAGTTCCAAATCGTCTCCATGTGCGGGAAAGCCAAGGAAACCTGAGATTCAGAATATGGAAGAATCCGGGGGGGGACCTTTTTGGAGTCACCTTTGACATCCCTGGGGATCGATTCCCAGGGATTCCTAAATTAATGGTTTAGACGGGGCGCGCGGGGGGGAAAGTCTCTTACCTCCCTTGGAATCGACTCCAAGGAACCAAGAGTTGCGATCCCATGCGATGCCGACCCCAATTAGCACGGCCGTCTTGGAGATATTGTAACCACCGAATCGTAACATCGTGCTGTGTTAAATCTCCTAGCTGGGCATCAATGGCAACATCTAGTGAAATAGCAATAACCTGATAGGGGGCCACCGCCGTCGCAAATTCAAGGCATTCTTGAAAGTCACCTGGCCCCCTTGCCCCAGAAACAATATGCAAAAAAAGGCCACCACGGTGTATCTCATTTCTGGCGCCATGCATGAGGTACGAAAATCTCGGAAGTCCTCTCGGCGGCACGGGAAATCATGTGCAGATGCATCAGGGCGAGGCGGAGGTGGAGGTACGAGGGGTTCCTGAACTCCTTCATCCCCTGGGCGATGTTCCCACTTATGCATGGGCACTCCTGGCTGTGAAATTAGATAGCTGGCTGCAGGGCCAATTTGATACTCCGCCTCTCGAAGTATCTCTGCTGCTTCTGCCTGGGAAATCGCGCACTGGTGTACGCACTCTGGCACTGCCACACGTTGCCGACACGCTCGGACTCTAGCTCCTCGCCTTGGCACCCCTTGTGCCTTGTCATGGGCTCTCTGCTGAGTGCTGAGGTGCATGACTTGCTCTTGCACTTCTTCTGCGAGAGGTGCGAGGTGGAGCTGAGGGAGGTAGAGACAGTTGGGCGAGCTGTAGGCGAGGCGGTCCTTGACCAACTCGATGGATGAGAACTGCCTTGCACAGATCCCACATGCATTGGGCTCGGCAAACTTGGAGGCCATGCGCCTCGCCTGATAATGTAGCGCGCCTACGTGTGCTGTCATGGCCTCCATCGCTCCGAGCTCCTTATGACAATGCTGACATGTGTAACGTAATTCATGTGCTGGTAGTATTGGTGCTAGATCACGCGGAGAAGGAAAACCATTGTCATGTGCCAGTGCTAAGATATGCTGCGTCGTACTTGGGCATCATGATTGCGTGCTTGCCATCGTGCATGCGCATGCATGGCTGATTTTACTTTGGACCGCCATTGAGGGAGAGACCCCATGATCATTTTCCCAAGAGTGGAAATCGGTCCCCGGGGACGGCATCAAACGTAACTCGCCATGGCGAGTACTCATCCACCTGAGGTCATTTTCGATTTGAGTCCTGAACCCCATTGTGGACTCCGAGGAGGCTGCTATGAGGGCCCTAAGGGGCTGCGGTCCAAAGCGTAGTACGCGTCCTAGGTACCGAAGTCGGTGCCGGCATAACGTGGTCTCAACGTCCGGCCGCTGTGCTTGCACCAAGGCATGGGCTGTGGTAGCGGTGTCCTGTGAATAGACTGGCAACTTCAAAGCAGCTCGATATATTCTTGTCACCTGGGTCTGGAGCCTGCTCATGTGTCCTCCAGTGAGGGGCGGCCAAACGCACGCGTTATGCAACTGTCCTGACTGTGCCAGGCTGTCGCCAAGCTGGAGCTTCCTCTGGTCAGTCAGGGTGTGGCTCTTGAAAACTGTCTTGCGGAGCGTTGACAGCATGCCTGTAGTCCCGCGTGTGCGATGGGCAAGCTCAGCAAACATATCTCCTTGACCGGTTAGCATTGCCCCAAGATCACGATGCCGATGCACTGCTGGAACCAAAAAACTTTCAGGAGCATATGGGGTTGGGGGGAGATGTAGGTGCCCATCTCAAACGTGCCATAGCTCCCGATATACTTCTTGCTTACCCTTACCCCAGAATTGGA